CTGTCACCTCCTCATCAAGAGGAAAATGGAGAAAAACTAACAACTCGATCGTACCTGCTGCTTAGTGGACACAACGGCACACAACAGAACTCACGTTTTATACCAGTAGATCACAGATGTTTTAACTTTTGTGACTTTTTCATGGACTAGTACTAGCAGCTAACGCTAAAAACATAGGCAGTAAGCAGGKAGTGGAAGGGACAAGCGTGGCAAGAATTTTACCGGAAATACGTCATTAATGACCATGGCATATAGGCTATTGGCCACCCTGCTGTACACACCCTTTCTTTAGTCGTGTAATAATCCTCCTGAACAGTTGGTGGCAGTGTTTAACAGTTTGAAACATCACCAAGCTCTATCACTGAAGAAGAGTAATGACAAGGAAGTGATTATTTTTTTTATATACAGAACATATGCCTATGTAATCTGACTTATGGTGACAAAAGGTTTTTTTTTTTTTTTTTTCATTTTATGCTATGAAGGCTGCATGATGCTCTGTCCCTTTTGGTTATGAGTAGACCTATCACTAAATTAGACAAAGTGAAACACCCCTCTAAGTTCACTGTTGGTGGTTATCAATATTGCACCTGTTCATTGGGTAAAATTATTAATATTAATTTTAAACATGCAGCTGAGGGTCATCCTTATTTGGCACAATGACGTGTTACAATTAAAAATAAATCAATAAACAATATAAAAGTAAAAAGCATCCATTATAGGAGCCATTTGTAGTTCTGGGTGTTCTGGGTAGTTTGGGTTCTTATTTTGCTTTTATAGTTCAGTTTGGTTTGGCGGCAGCGTTTATTTGGATTGACACTTTGACCTATATTTTTGCTCTACCACTGATGGCGGTGTGGAGGGGAAATCTATATAGGTGGCAAGGTGAGAAGGAAAGGTGAAGGGTGTAGGGAGGTCACACAGTTTTTACCTCTCTCATATTCACATTTTTACCATAATTTTCCATCTATTTGGCAAGCTGCCACTCTGGACTTTGTAACATTTAATAATCAAAAATAATATAATAAATGGGAGTATCCCCAAACATATCTCCCAGTCTGGACATTAAATTAATTGGAGCGTGTCAAAGGCCTGGATTCCCCCGCACCCAGAAGCGACTAAAAGCTTGGTTTTGATAGTCGCTACACCCATATAGTCATTGGATATGATAAATTATGTCACATTAATTAACTTTATCTCAGCTTCATCAGTGAGTTTAAAACAGGATGATGGAACCAGTTTCATGAATAATCTGTCTCTGAAATATCCTGATGCATCTCAGAAATCCAGGTAAAAAATCAAAAAGAAAAAAAAAATT